TACCCCTTTCTGAGTGATATAATATCGTAAACCACCCTAAAATCTTCCCACTTACCCGTTGCAGCGTGATACAATATCATATACCACCCTAAAATCTTCCCACTTACCCCTTGCAGCGTGATATAATATCCTATACCAACCTTACATCTTCCCACCTACCCCTTGCTGCGTGATATAATATCCTATACCACCCTAACATCTTCCCACTTACCCCTTGCTGTGTGATATAATATCCTGTACCACCCTAACATCTTCCCACCCACCCTTGAAGCGTGATATAATATCCTACAACACCCTAACATCTTCCCACTTACCCCTTGCTGTGTGACATAATATCCTGTACCACCCTAACATCTTCCCACCCACCCTTGAAGCGTGATATAATATCTTATACCAACCTTACATCTTCTCACACAGCCCTGCAGCATGATATAATATCCTATACCACCTTAACATCTTCCCATCCACCATTGCTGCGTGATATGATATCCTATACCACCCCGACATCTTCCCACTTACCCTTGCTGCGTGAATTACCAGACTTTATCAGCCAAACGGACCTAGTTATTTTTGGAATCCAACTGGATTAGACAGGAGCAGGGGGAATAGAGGAGACATTGGTGAAGAAGTAGCATATGTGAGAGATAGACAGAGACATAGAGAGAGAGAGAGAGAGAGAGAGAGAGAGAGAGAGAGAGAGAGAGAGAGAGAGAGAGAGAGAGAGAGATGATACAGAGAGAGGGATGATACAGAGATAGAGAGAGAGGGGGATGATACAGACATAGAGAGAGAGGGATGATACACAGAGAGAGAGGGATGATACACAGAGAGAGAGAGAGGGAGGGATGATACAGACATAGAGAGAGGGATGATACACAGAGAGAGGGATGATACAGAGAGAGAGAGAGGGATGATACATACAGAGAGAGGGAGGGATGATACAGAGAGAGAGAGGGAGGGATGATACAGAGATAGAGATAGAGAGATGACACACACACACACAGACAGAGAGAGAGAGGGAGAGATGATATAAGTAGATTAAGATGATAGAGAGATAGAAAGAGTTAGATAGAGATACATAGATAGAGATATCGTCGATAGTCATGAATAGAGCTGATGGCGGTAGATATAAATAGAGGCGATAGAAAGGTAGATAGGGATAGATAGAGAGATGATAGGGAGATAGAGGTGGGGTAGATGTGAGATAGACAGGGCACAGATATAGGGTGATAGTTGCCGTGAGGAGAGACAGAAATGGGAAGGGGTGACACACTAAGCTGAAGGAGGGGGTGTCTGTGTGCGTACGGGTGTGGGTGTGGTAATGGGTGTGGGTGTGGATGTGGGTACGGGTGTGGGTGTGGTAATGGGTGTGGGTATGGATGTGGGTACGGGTGTGGGTGTGGGCATGGGTAGGGGTGTGGGTAGTAGTGTGGGTGAGGGTGTGAGTGAGGGTGAGGGTGTGTTGTGTTTGAGGGGGTGGGTGTGGTAGTGGGTGTGTGTGTGTGGATGTGCATGTGGGCGTTGGTATGGCTGTGGATATGGATGTGGGCGTGGGTACGGGTGTGGTTACTGGTGTGAGTGAGGTTTAGGGTAAGGTTGTGGGTGAGGTTGTGGGTGAGGGTGAGGGTATGGGTGTGGGTGTGGGTGTGGGTGTGGGTGTGGGTGTGGGTACGGATGTTGGAAAATAAATGAGTGTACGCAAACGTAAGTAACGAGCAGCAGAGTGTTCGCCCCAGTACCGCCACAGAAGGACATGTCGTGGGTGTAGGTTGATGAGGTATTATTGCATATGACGCTGCAAACAAATTATCAATCGTAGTAGTAATGACTAAATTTACAACACAAAATATTTAAAAAAGCACAAGACTTATGCCAAATGAATCAGTCACAATACGCTTTGAAGCACAAACCTACATTTTTACAACACGGCTACACCCTCACTAACAGCTGAACCACACCAGAGGGTCCTGCCACAGGTAGAAAGGACAACGTATGGAGTAAATTGTTCCCCAAGGGGAGACAAGTATGAACCATTTGTCTTTTGCACTAACCATATCATTTTCAGATTTTTGATAATTAAGTGCATACTTTGACTGTCAGGCAATACAGTGTGTATAAACAATATCAGTATGCCATTACTTCTGAAGATGGGTATCTGTATTAGAACTACTGGTGACTAGCATCATACATTCATCCAACCAAACACATTTCGGTTGACTGGCGGACGGTGACGAGGCATTACACCCCATTGCTAACATTTCCGGACCTTCTGCAAGACATTTACGATACCAATCACTGCAACTACAAACGGAAACAAACTATAGCTATATAATGCAGACGGGCTGCGTTGTCAACCCTGGTATTTTACCGCTGCTTCGTGTTAAACGCATCTTAAAGGGCACTAGACTAAATGTGTTTCAATCGTTCAAAAACCATGTTGGTTGTCTGCTCCAGTTGTACGATATCTACCAGTCTAGTGGTTAATGATTACATGAACTACCAGTAACAATATCGGAGAATCACACACGGCAATAATAACAATAACGTCTCCATAGAAGGCCGCGTCAGGTGAACCCTGAGCGAACTTTGACCGCCCAGTCAAAATGAAGGATGCTTGTTTTCTTGAACCAATCAGATGCTAGCTTTCTAAAACGATTCGGTTTCAATTCTTTATCAATTCGATTCGGAAATTTCGAAAAAGGAAACCGCAACAAAACAATAATATACACTAGACAGTCCACCTTTTTGGGTGAAGATGTCATGGCGCTCAGAAACGACAGCATTTATAGATCAATAAATACAATACAACGGCGCGGCTTTTCTTTTGTGCATTCGGAACTTCCCGATTATATTCGTTTTCGAGAAACAGAAATCAGATATGCTTGTCTGAATGATTTGCACACTCGAATATACATAATATAAGCCTCGATTCTAATTGGTTGATTAGATAGTTCACCTGACGTGACCTCCGCCCTTTCATTATTAATCAATCTGGATAACAAGCCTGGCTGCGGTGTAGGATAATATCTGGACTGGAACAAATTGGACGTGGTTCTTCTAGTATCGTGTCCCTGACTTCACAACCCTTCTGTATCACGCTTCTGTATGGCGCTACTCACACTGTATCTGTATGCATCAAAGCCTATGATACTATATACATCAACAGTTGTTCATGATATAGCTATACAAGTAGGTCAAATATCATGACATGCGCCGGAGTCATGCGTGTGGCTATACACACAGTTCATGATTATGACTAAACACACTGTCACTGCATATACATACACACATGGTGTATATATCTATGCCCACAATAGGTGTATATAGCTTTGCTGACAGTTTGTGTAGATATGTATGCCCACAGTAGGTGTATATAGCTATACTGAAACCGGGTGTATATCTCTATGCCCACAATAGGTGTATATAGCTTTGCTGACAGTTTGTGTATATATGTATGCCCACAGTAGGTGTATATAGCTATACTGAAACCGGGTGTATATCTCTATGCCCACAGTAGGTGTATATCACTATACTGACAGCTGGTGATATCTCTACACCCACAGTAGGTGTATATAGCTATACTGAAACCGGGTGTATATCTCTATGCCCACAGTAGGTGTATATCACTATACTGACAGTTTGTGTACTGGTTATACTCACGCTTAGTGTACACACACTTGGTTATACGGCTATACACACACTTTGTTATACGGCTATACACAGCTTTGGTGTATATAGCTATGCCCCCAGTTTGTGTATGTAGCTATACTCTTGTTTGTGTATATGGATATACACACGATTCAGATATCTGGCTGTACAGAGGAGGGTGGACTCTTACAACGGTACGAGGCTCGCTCGGAGCACACTATCCCAGATTGGTATTAACACCTGTCATGACTTCAGCTGACGAGAGCGTTAAAACAATCACACCGTTGTGATGAATACATAGTTGGGTTTGGATTATTATTGAATCTAACCCGTCATAGCGAGATGTGTTCTGCCTAGCTTTATTGTTATATTGTGCAAAACCAAGCAAGTGTGAAAGTTAGAGCTCTTTTCACTTGGAATGCTAATCTCACAATACGTCGTTTTTCAGAATGGTCTGGCGCGAGTATGTATCGAACACAATGCAGGTTAAAACATTTTGTGGCTATATTCAAATCCGCAATCAGTCTACGTAACCACACACAAATAAAAATCGAAGTTATCTACCTATCCTTTAAACATCAATATTGCATATCCAGCCTGAAAAACTGAACGTGGCATGGAGCCTAGAGGGAGATGTCGTGAGGAAGTTATAAAGCGCCCTTCAGAGCTGCATGCTGAGAATCTCATACCGAGGCTATCATCTAACGGAATTAAAAGCCATGATAAGCTCGCATTATCCCTCCCCGAATGAGGGCCCGCAAATGTTAAAACACTGGAAACGTGGAAAATACAACTGCGTGACTTTGCTGCGGGTCAAACACAACGGACCACACCTTCACGCTAACGGTAAACACACTTAATACAAATACATGTACGGGAACAGCAAAGCTAAAATAAAGGTTTCGTTCATTATGATACCGACAACGCACATTAATGTAAATCTAAGAAAGGGTGGCTATCTGGGTGGCCGCTCACACTGGGCGCTCAGAGCAGCAAACAATTACATGCACAATGACATCACACGAAGAACTAGAAAGAAAAAAATAAATCCTATTGGTGCCGTCAGCATGTATATATATATCTCCATGGTCGTGGTCGACCACCCGGTACGGTACAATATCCCTGCCATTCTCAGTAACAACGCTGCTCGAGGAATCCCGACACCACAACGTCCGGACACATTCGTTGAAGGTCAAGGCCGATTATGTGTGTAGCGATACCTTACAGGAGCTGCAGGCGACAGGAGATGCCGAGAATTCACTACTGAAGCTGTCCCCCGTAAAGACATTGTTAACGTTCACCACACGGGCACCATGACCACGTGTGCTGGGAAACTGTGACGTCATGTGCCCGCGCAGGAACAATATGACGTCATGTGCCCGCGCAGGAACATTGTGACGTCATGTGCCCAACTGGACACCGTGACGAGTGACGACATGTGCCCGGGGATGTGTAGTGCCCGCACTACAGAACTCAACGTCTTGGCGCCCTTAATCTCACGACAGCATAAATATCGACATGTTGCTTGTGTGCCTGGAGTACTCCAGGTAGAGAGTCCTATACACGCGGTAGCTATACACAGGGGAAGGCGAGATGACTAAGTGACCGTGAGTGCCACTCAAACATACACATCGCCTTCCAGTACACCTCCACATCAGGAACACGAGGTCCTCCACTTCGTCTCACCGTCAGACCTTGGTATCGTCCTCCTCAGGACCGGATCTCTTCCTGGAAGCACGATTGGACGACACTGCGTTAGTCTGCCCATGGGCGTTAGGAATGGCGTTTGACTGAGGCCTCGGTGCTGGCTTTAGGCACTGAGCCAAGTTGACAATTTCCCCCTGAATGTTGGCCAACGCCTGCACCACATTACACAAAGCTTTTTGGTTCTCCGTCATCAACTTGCGTATGAACTCCACGTCGTCCTGGAGACGGTTGTTCTCCTTGCTGTTGGCCTGCAGGTGCTGGAGCCGCACGTCAAGGAGCTTCTGGGACCTCTGGATGGCGTCCAGCTGGGGGATAGCCAGGGTGGTTGTCATGGGAACGTTGGCCATGGACGTTCGCCGGGTGTGATGGCTCCGGTTACTGGCCTTCCTCTTTGACAGGGCGGAGGCCCGACCTGCAACAGAGACGGCAGTTGCTACGTTAGCAGTTACGATAATGCCGACGGTGACTGTTTGAAGAGATGCGACACTGTTGACGGTGACTACTTGAACACACACGCCACTGTCGACGGTGACTAATTAATTGAACATACACGACAATGTCCTCGGTGATACAGATACGACGGTGACTACCTGACTGAATATTACCACGCTGTAGACGATGGCTACTTCATTGAACATATATGGCACTGTCGACGGTGACTGTATGGTTGAAGGTATATGCAATTTTCTTAGGAGCTATAGGCTTATATACCCAAGTGCAAACAAGCTATATATCAGCGGGTAAATATCGGCTTGACTCCGACGACTAGTTAAGATTGAATTGCAGCAACCCACGCATGTCATAAGAGGCGACTAACGGGATCGGGTGGTCAGGCTTGCTGACTTGGTTGATACATGTCATCGTATCCCAATTGCGTGGATTGCTGCTCATGATGTCAATTATTAGATTGTCTGGTCCAGACTCGATTATTTACAGACCGACGTCATACAGCTGGAATACTGCTGAGTGCGACGTTAAACAACAAACAAACAAACACACGAATAGATGTGACACCGCTGAATATTTTCACGCTGGGCAGGAGCGGCGTCCACGTAGACCTCTCACCGTCAGCTTTAGAGTTATCCTCCCCTTCCTCCTCTGGTATAGGGGGCGTGGCGAAGGGTATCCGGCTGGGTGTGTCGCTAGGTATTGGTGGCGGGGGAACGTCTGGGGCTTCTATGAACTCCACCTCCTCCGCTCTGATGTTGCCCATGTCTTTCAAGGCTGCAGTTCATTACAAGGCACAAGGCATTACAGATAAAAACATTAAAGGATGCAGAAGTCATCGATGCCAACACGCCATCGTTACGTTAGACGGAATGCAATGTTTATGCTCATGTAGCAATAAGAACCGATGATCTAGTGAGAATATATCTATGGAAATTTGGTAGGAAACATGAATGATGTATTTCAAGTTAAGGTAGGAATTATGTTGACCTTGGTAATGGTGGTCAGATTATGGATGGTGTATTAGAGTACTAGTATACAAGCAGTGTTATTCTTGTCTTTCCTATTACAAGAGATGACATATCAGCAGCCATTGTAGATTTAACATCATCTAAAGTGCCGGTTCTGATCACATTATAGCGTAGCTGTACAAGACGTTTTACTTCCTTACATTGGGATTTGTTTAATGTTTTGTTTGATAGCTCCTATGTTCATGAATTATGACGCATTGGTTTCACTGTACCGATAGACAAGGGATGTGGTTCTAACTACAGAGCAATATCTATTACAAGTATGTTCAGTTAACTAAATATACAATTTGACGTTTTGGTTTTATGCTCATGAAGAAAGTTAAAGCTCAAGGGTATAGTATGGACAATATTTTAGTTCTTCTGCAATCCCTTATAAAAACGCGAGGGACATTGATAGATGTGTTTTAAATGTTTCGAAGGCTTTAATTTCTTCAACAGGACAAATGTTTGGAACATTCTAAGAACCAGAGGGGTTATATTTGGAGCATTAAATCATAGAAAATCTGTTTTTAATAGTGTCAAATCATGTGTAAAATTTTATAATATTGTCAAGGAGTCAGCTAGATTCACTCGGTTTACAACATGGGCGTGCATGAAGTCCTTTATTATTTTCTATTCTTACGATTATAGTACCAAATAACAAAGAATTGGCTTGTGATTAGCCTGTGGGTACCAGAAATCCAACCCCACCCTGAAACCTGCACAGTTAGTTCCTCTTCCGTTTGCAGATGGTGTGTTTGTGTCTGCTGCGATATTTGGTCGCAACGTATTGACGTGTTGAAGGAGTTTTATGAAGAACGTTATTTAACGTTTAATTTAGACAAGAATGTTAGTACGTTGTCGAAATATGAAAAATGGATTATTATAAATATTTATGTGTTATGTATTCAAGATCGTTTTGTGTAAACATTTAGCTAATGTGTTGTATGCATGATAATAAAGTTGTTTTCGGTTTAATGAAATCTTTGACTAACTGACTTAACTTTAACCAATACATTCTTTAAACATATTTTCTGTCAATCTGCTAATTCTATTTTTAAAAACTACATTTCTCTCGAACTGTAATGCCATACAAGTCAAAAGCATAAAATAACACATTTTACATGCCGGTGGTCTGACATATACACATCCTGCATCACTATTTTCTGGCCCGTTTAAAATATGAGAAGGATGAGAAATGTCGATTTTTTAAATAGAATTAGCCGATTGACAGAAAATATCATGTGAGCAAGAATGGCATTCGTCTCTCTCAAAGACATAGATTACAGAAGACACCAGGATCTTGTTCGTTCGTTCCCTACATCACACTCTTTTTTTTATAGACATGACCCCGTTACATCCCCCCCGACCACCACCCCCACCCCACCCCCACCCCCACCCCAGCAAATACTCCTGTGTTCTGTGACTGCGCTATCACCAGGTCAGTTGTTATATACGTACCAGTTTCATCTTTAGCTCTCTCCAGCTTGAAGAGGTATCTCTTTACTAGCCTGTGCATGATGTCTATATACGACGTCTCATCAGGCTTTAAGTCCAACGTTTTGCACACTGTCTCTCGACGCTTCTGTGAGTGCGAAAGTGAAAGTTTTACAAGCGTCGTAAAATCATCACGTCAAACCTTCGATTCGCCAGCATCCCACAGCTGCGTACACAATAACAGTCTTAAAATATTCTACAGTAAACATTATGTCGAGATGGTGTCGTGACGCCAGTGACGTATCGTACCCCCCACTATGGACATACACTACAATTTGTATGTCGTGATGCCGGTGACGCCGATGACGTATCGTACCCCCCACTATGGACATACACTGCAATTTGTATGTCGAGATGGTGTCGTGACGCCGGTAACGTATCGTACCCCCCACTATGGACATACACTACAATTTGTATGTCGTGATGCCGGTGACGCCGGTGACGTATCGTACCCCCCACTATGGACATACACTACAATTTGTATGTCGTGATGCCGGTGACGTATCGTACCCCCCAGTATGGACATACCCTACAATTTGTATGTCGTGATGCCGGTGACGCCGGTGACGTATCGTACCCCCCACTATGGACATACACTACAATTTGTATGTCGTGATGCCGGTGACGTATCGTACCCCCCAGTATGGACATGCACTACAATTTGTATGTCGTGATGCCGGTGACGCCGGTGACGTATCGTACCCCCCACTATGGACATACACTACAATTTGTATGTCGTGATGCCGGTGACGTATCGTACCCCCCAGTATGGACATACACTACAATTTGTATGTCGTGATGCCGGTGACGCCGGTGACGTATCGTACCCCCCACTATGGACATACACTACAATTTGTATGTCGTGATGCCGGTGACGTATCGTACCCCCCAGTATGGACATACACTACTATTTGTATGTCGTGATGCCGGTGACGCCGGTGATGCCCCTGACGTATCGCTGCCCCCACTAGGTAGATGTTTCCACGGCGCCACGTGTATCTCAATGTAGCGCCTATGAAACACCTCTCCAGTAGGGGAGGTCACAATAGAGATCTCAGTGTTCCAACAGTTCTCCGTAGGCATGCTGTCCTTGAAATAGAACAGTGTGTTGATTTTGTCACACACTTGTTTAAGCACTGAAGATGTTGTTATCTGGTGTGAAACTACTGTCAGGGTGATCTACATCCTCCACCTAATGGTACTGCTGTTGCTGACGAGTAATAACAGCGTTTCCCGTTATGTTCGTGCATAGCGCGACTGCTGAAGGCAAAGTAGTGACATCTATCAGCATCTATCTACAGGTGAGGTGAAATGGGGTGTAACGTCGCGCGAAAGATTATTGCACTGTTATAGCGACGTGCATGCACGTGTGTGTGTGTGTGTGTGTGTGTGTGTGTGTGTGTGTGTGTGTGTGTGTGTGTGTGTGTGTGTGCCATCTTTTAAATACCATCTTTTAACGTCTTTTGGTATGACGCGGCCGGGGTTGGAACCCGGACCTTCCGCTCTCCGGGCGGACGCTCTGCCACTAGACCACGGAGGCGGTGTGCATCTGCCTACAACAATACATGCGTCATAAAGCTACTGCGGCTGTCACTCGCAGTTTTCGGTACTTTCTGCTCGCAAAAATTCCAAATATACAGTATTCATATGTAATTGTGATTATTTTATTCATCTTATTCTTAAGCGATTTTTTTAAAAATAATGCTGGAAAATGCCGAAAAAATAGGCTATACACAAACATAAATCGTTCACGCTGGGTGTTCTAAAAGCTGGTGGTGCTCGTTCTTCTGTTTAGTGAATTGTATGTTGAAGCGCGCTGATAACATATTCCGCTTTAAGACAAAATTCTATGTCATGATATCCAGTTTAATAGAAGTAAAACAACTAAAGTAAGAATACTGTACATACCTTCAGAAACGTCTGCTTTCTATTCTTTTCATATTCTAGGAATCCATTTTTGCTATGCTTTATCAAGTCTTTAAAGAATATATACACGTAATAGAAGGACTTGGGCGTCGGGATCATGTTGAAGGGGACGGGCAGGGTGCTGCCCTCGTCCATGTAGTTCAACCACAGCTTCGTACGGGCAAACTTCCACTCCACGTCACAGTCGGTCTGAAACACGGTCAGGGGAACGTGTGAGAAGCGAGGGGTCGACTTAACGCTGCTTTTAACGGTATTTAGCTATATATCAGCCTGACAGCTTGATGTTGGAGGACATACGTTGACGTTTTAGCGCTTGTGGAAGCTCACTAGCAAAGGTATGTAGCTGACCACAAAGACCCAAATCAGGAAAAAAATCGGATTCGATCCGCCGATCGGAGTAGGGGACGTAACTCTGCATTGACCACCCGTTCTGAACAATGTTGATTGGAAGCTATATTCTACCCGAACTTTCCGTTTGGAATCCGATCGGCAGTCAGCTATTTTCTAATCGAAGTTTACCTAAAGAGCCCAGTCCCCAGAACGCTAGTTTCTAAACGAAGTTTTTATAAAGAATTCGAATACCAGAACGTTATATTCTACCCGAATATCCCCATGTGCCCCATCCCTATAACGCTATTTTCTCCCTCACTGTTTCAAGGTAAATGCGCCCGGAGAATGCGATATTCTACCTGAATGTCTTCGAAGGAGTGGCTCATCATAGCAATGAGCATGTTGATGAGGACGATGATGATGACGACGTGGTAGATACCGAACAGGTACATCCCGACACTCTCGACGATGGACGTGCTGCTGTCGTGATGAGACGACCCGTACAAGGTAGACTTGAACACTGAAACATCATACAGGATCATCAGGCGGAAGTTATCAAATGTACGGCAGTGATGGGGATAACGGTACCATTGTTTAGTGATGATACTGGGGTACAAGGGTAACGTAGGCTCAATAACAAATCTGATTTGTTTTTTAAAAATAAGTATTCAAGTCATAATTTTAAATTTATTCGGTATCAACGGTTTTGAAAACTTTATATTAAAATGGTTAAGAAATAACGTGTGTTCAATTATGTGGCACACGTCCGCCTTGACTTGTACAAGTCTCTAAGGCAATAATTATTAGTTTAAATCATAATTTTTAGATTATGTAAATAATAAGAACATCTTGTTGTCCCTATAAGGTACTGGATCTCTTAGATCTAGACTTGAGGCTCCTGTTAGGAGGATGGCATTAGTACATCCATGGACATTTCTTTCAGTACAGCCTTGGAGCAAGGCTTACGCCCGTCCCCAACAGAGTGAGTGAGTATGGTTTTACGCCGCTTTTAGCAATACCACGGCGGAATGGGCTTCACACAATGTACCCATGTCGGGAATCGAACCGGGTCTTCGGCGTGATGGGCGAACGCTTTAACCACTAGGCTACCCGACTGCCCCCCTCAACAGAGAGTCCGCATCGAGTCCGCCTCTGATACAAATGTTCCATTAGAACAATACAGCTTCCTTAGGTATAGGGGCGGTCGGGTAGCCTAGTGGTTAAAGCGTTAGCTCGTCACGCCGAAGACCCGGGTTCGATTCCCGACATGGGTACAATGTGTGAAGCCCATTTCTGGTGTCCCCCGCAGTGATATTGCTGGAATATTGCTAAAAGCGGCGTGAAACCTCACTCACTCACTCACTCCTTGGGTATATTACGACATGCGTCTATAATAGGGTAATGAAACTCCATTGAACACTGCATGCACATGTACAATTCATCATTAGACAAATACTTATATCAGCCGGTCAATCCACACCTACCTTCAGCACATCAACAAGGAATATATCTCGCAGAGAAATCACCTACAAGTAATACTGCAACGTGGGCTATTCCTGGATCAAATGTGTACTTTCCGATAATACTGTACGGTGTCACATGACTGTACACGACGTACCTTTAACCAGGTCGACTAGTGCTGTTACACCATAGGACAATTAGTACGTACCTATTGTTGTGAAAGCGGCACCACAGGTCAAACAATACGTACCTACCTGTGACATAGTAGACGGAATCCGTACTGCGACACTGAACCTCCTGGGACAACAGCCAGAAAACATGTATACTACACACGCACGCACGCACGCACGCACGCACGCACGCACGCACGCACGCACGCACAGAGAGAAAGAAAGTAACGAGACATACGGCTGAAATGTAAATCTCAATAAAAAAATAAAAAAAGAAACAATACGGAAAGTTACTGTGAAACACCCAGGAGGACAAAGGGTCACAGGAGACAACAAAACTTGGAACACAGAAAACAGAGACACTTTGACAACAAAACACATTCTGACAACATGAGCCACACTGACAACAGGCACCCTGACAACAACGGACGCTCCAACAACATGAGGCACTGTGACAACAACGGACGCTCCAACAACGTGAGGCACTGATTGACAACAACGGACGCTCTAACAACATGAGGCACCCTGACAACAACGGACGCTCTAACAACATGAGGCACCCTGACAACAACGGACGCTCTACTTACATGCGGCTCCCCGACAACCACGGACGCTTAACAACATGAGGCGTTCTGACAACAACGGGCGCTCTAACAACATGATGCACTGATTGACAACAACGGACGCTCTAACAACGTGATGCACTGATTGACAACAACGGACGCTCGAACAACATGAGGCACTGATTGACAACAACGGACGCTCTAACAACATGAGGCACTGATTGACAAGAACGGACGCTCTAACAACGTGAGGCACTGATTGACAACAACGGACGCTCTAACAACATGAGGCACTGATTGACAACAACGGACGCTCTAACAACATGAGGCACTGATTGACAACAACGGACGCTCTAACAACGTGAGGCACTGATTGACAACAACGGACGCTCGAACAACATGAGGCACTGATTGACAACAACGGATGCTCTAACAACATGAGGCACTGATTGACAACGACGGACGCTCTAACAACGTGAGGCACTGATTGACAACAACGGACGCTCCAACAACATGAGGCACCCTGACAACAACGGACGCTCCAACAACATGAGGCACTGTGACAGCAACGGACGCTCCAACAACATGAGGCACTGATTGACAAAGGGTACAACAAGGGTTTGGCCTATCTCAGTTCCCAGGATGGACTTGCATACAGCTTATTTAGCCCAGTATTAAGATTTTAAAATCAGTACCAGACACAACTGAATCAGTTCAATAAAAGACCACTGTTATAATTTTATCGAATGCTGAGTCACAATAAAATGTCCCTAGACTTAGTCTTAATACAGTCACATTCAGTCATAGCCGTGATAACGAACAGATACCATTATAGTCCTGACCGTAGCCTTTACCGCAATCATAGTTCAGCCATTCTACGTGTTATAGTATTGTCTGTATTAACACCATTGTAAACGTATCATTGAAAATTACAGTGGTCATATCTTAGTATATGTGGGTGTGTACTCACGGAGCAAACAGATCATTACATGTGATCATGTCTTGGTATGTGATGAGTGTGTTATAATACTGCTAAAGGATCGTAGAACAAAGTCATGCTTTGGTATTTGTAGTTTGCGTAAACACAACAGTATATAAGAGCCAGATTATATTACTAATTACGTGTCGGTCTACACAGATAAAAGAAATAGATGTGTTTAAGGGACTTTGAAATTTATTTTTTATAACCTGGTCTCACTGGTTTTGGTTCTTTCAAAGTTTTTTTAAAAATGTAAGTACATGTACTTTCTGTCTTCAAGTATTGGTAATGCACTCAGAAAATTGTTTCATGTCAGCATTCATAACGATGCCAAATATTTAAAATGATTTATTTGGTATGAAAACTGTCGGCGCTATATACAATACAATATTGATTTAATCTTCCCCTCAATGTTAACAGTCGCGGATTCGCAAACGAAGTAAAAAGAGCACAGTCTAAAGATCGTTAAATGTAATCATGGGCTTCTCTCGGTATGTGTTGAGGGGGACAGTAACAGAGTGTACACATCCTTGAACACAGTAATGGCTCTATCTCAGTATCTGTTGAGTGTGTAATAACAGAGTGTACAGATTCTTGAACACAGTAATGGCCCTATCTCAGTATCTGTTGAGTGTGTAATAACAGAGAGTACAGATCATTGGACACAGTAATGACCCTATCTCCGTATCTGTTGAGTGTGTAATAACAGAGCGTACAGATCCTTGAACACAGTAATGGCCGTATCTTAGTATCTGTTGAGTGTGTAATAATAGAATGTACAGATCCTTGAACACAGTAATGGCCCTATCTCCGTATCTGTTGAGTGTGTAATAACAGAGTGTACAGATCCTTGAACACTGTAATGGCTCTATCTCAGAATCTGTTGAATGTGTAATAACAGAGTGTACATATCCTTGAACACAGTAATGGCTCTATCTCAGTATCTGTTGAGTGTGTAATAACAGAGTGTACATATCCTTGAACACAGTAATGGCCCTATCTCAGTATCTGTTGAGTGTGTAATAACAGAGTGTACAGATTCTTGAACACAGTAATGGCCGTATCTTAGTATCTGTTGAGTGTGTAATAATAGAATGTACAGATCCTTGAACACAGTAATGGCTCTATCTCAGTATCTGTTGAGTGTGTAATAGCAGAGTGTACAAATCCTTGAACACAGTAATGGCTCTATCTCAGTATCTGTTGAGTGTGTAATAACAGAGTGTACAGATTCTTGAACACAGTAATGGCCGTATCTTAGTATCTGTTGAGTGTGTAATAATAGAATGTACAGATCCTTGAACACAGTAATGGCTCTATCTCAGTATCTGTTGAGTGTGTAATAACAGAGTGTACAGGTCCTTGAACACAGTAATGGCCCTATCTCAGTATCTGTTGAGTGTGTAATAGCAAAGTGTACAGATCCTTGAACACAGTAATGGCCCTATCTCAGTATCTGTTGAGTGTGTAATAACAGAGTGTACAGATCCTTGAACACAGTAATGACCCTATCTCAGTATCTGTTGATTGTGTAATAACAGAGAGTACAGATCCTTGAACACAGTAATGACCCTATCTCAGTATCTGTTGAGTGTGTAATAACAGAGAGTACATATCCTTGAACACAGTAATGGCCCTATCTCAGTATCTGTTGAGTGTGTAATAACAGAGTGTACAGATTCTTGAACACAGTAATGGCCGTATCTTAGTATCTGTTGAGTGTGTAATAATAGAATGTACAGATCCTTGAACACAGTAATGGCTCTATCTCAGTATCTGTTGAGTGTGTAATAGCAGAGTGTACATATCCTTGAACACAGTAATGGCTCTATCTCAGTATCTGTTGAGTGTGTAATAACAGAGTGTACATATCTTTGAACACAGTAATGGCCCTTTCTCAGTATCTGTTGAGTGTGTAATAATAGAATGTACATATCCTTGAACACAGTAATGGCTCTATCTCAGTATCTGTTGAGTGTGTAATAGCAGAGTGTACAGATCCTTGAACACAGTAATGGCCCTATCTCAGAATCTGTTGAGTGTGTAATAACAGAGTGTACAGATCCTTGAACACAGTAATGGCTCTATCTCAGTATCTGTTGAGTGTGTAATAACAGAGAGTACAGATCCTTGAACACAGCAATGGCTCTATCTCAGTATCTGTTGAGTGTGTAATAACAGAGAGTACAGATCCTTGAAAACAGCAATGGCTCTATCTCAGTATCTGTTGAGTGTGTAATAACAGAGAGTACATATCATTGAACACAGTAATGGCTCTATCTCAGTATCTGTTGAGTGTGTAATAACAGAGAGTACATATCCTTGAACACAGTAATGGATCTATCTCAGTATCTGTTGAGTGTGTTATAACAGAGTGTACAGATCCTTGAACACAGTAATGGCTCTATCTCAGTATCTGTTGAGTGTGTAATAACAGAGAGTACATATCCTTGAACACAGTAATGGATCTATCTCAGTATCTGTTGAGTGTGTTATAACAGAGTGTACAGATCCTTGAACACAGTAATGGCTCTATCTTAGTATCTGTTGAGTGTATAATAACAGAGTGTACAGATGAGTGAAGACAGTCGTGGTCCTGTATCGCTATCTGTTGGGCGTGTTTCTTATGCATGCGACGATACTGAAAAAGGTGCACGTTGACACATGTGCGTTGTCACTGGTTGTCCTGTATCTGTAGACTATATTGGTCAAAGCTGCTCGACTAATAATCACAATATACTTCGTCTCAAATTTTGCTTGGACATTAAACATTAAACAAAAACGCAGGGATATTATAACCATTAATCCATTAAATGTCCTTCTTTTGAACACGTTACACGTTTCGGACACACTTTATACGCAATAGGGCTGCATTCATGAAATAAAATAATGGAGATGTATTTTATCAAGTTCAATGTTGACGTCGATATGGGGTCTAGCATCACAATTGAACAGTTGATACAGAACATGGCTCTCACGAGCAGCAGCACCACTAAACGCATGCACATTCACCAAGCATGTGAGAACACACCAACTGCTGAAACTATCTATGTTACACGAAGCCAGCTCTCGTAACCTCTACAAGCTAGGACACACATGCCAAGTACCTGGGGGCGTGTTGGGATCTCGTTTGCTGCCGTCTGTACAGTATATGTCGCCACGCTCACTGTCTAGAACTTGACATTTTTTGACTGCAAAAACGAGGTTATGAGGACTGAAAGTGACACCCCTAGATCTACTGATCACCTTAGTAGGCCTCAGTACGCACACGTACACACGTACACACGTACACACGTACACACGCAGCCACACGTAGGCAGGGCCGCTTGCTTTAGTGGCTGAGAGCAAGAAACGATAAGCCACTCTAGTGCATGGACATGGTGTTATAAACTGTGAAGGACGATGTTAGGCCACGTTCTAGGAGACCGAACTGAAACGCCAACACACATAGTGAACAGGGGGTAAATAACAATGTGAAGTTATAACACACGCCTACCTCCTCCGCCCTTGCCGCCGCTCACGACACTGGATATATAACCTGCAAGAGGAGATGGCATCTATCTGCGTACACTACCACACTGAATATAACACTGGAAGAGTTAAAACCTTGATGAAGTCTCCGGAAAATGCAAGTCTGTCCGGAACTGCACTTTTCTCATGGTGGTTCTTGGTAGGTTCCCCAAAGTGATCTCACGACTAAGGACAGTGCAGAAACACTATCACAAAGCGATCATAGCGCTATAGATGAGTGAGTGAGTGAGTTGGGTTTAACGCCGCTTTTAACAGTATTCCAGTTATATCGCGGCGTGTCAGCTTAATGTGGGAGGAAAGCCCGAAGTGATGCAGGTCTCAGACGTTTACCACTTCGGTGACACCCACGAGCACGGGTATGGTGCTGACAAATCTAGAAACATAATCGGGGCGAACCGGGATTCGAACCCACAATCATAGGTTTCTGGCGTGCCCAAGGGACGCACCTCTGCACAGCGAATCGCGGCGCCTTAGATGTTTGGGCCCCCCGTGCCCCCGGCTATAGATGAGGTAACACATACACTTTTACATAGACTTATGACGGTCTTAGTTCTAAGATCGTTTAGGAAACCCGGTCCTCTTTCCACAAAGCATTCTTAATGATACGATTATGTCGTTATATACGCACTTTCACCACACTTACGGTAGTCATAGCACTAAGATCGCTTCGCGAAACCTGGGTCCCGTTGTACAAAACAACCTAAGCGCAACGACTGTCGTAAGTCTATGTTAAGGTATAGGTTACGATCAACTTAGCGCTAAGATCGCTTTGTACAACGGCGCCCTGGTCAGAGTCAGGTACTGGTAGACGTGAATTATATACAAGTCCTTGATATTGAGACAGATGGATCCGTGGTCCTAATTACAGAAATACAACCTAACTCTCATCGAATCAATCAACTGTGTACATATGTCACATGTAGTCATTTACAAGTTTCGCCCCTAGCCTCTCCGTAAAAATAAATGCACGATTCTGTCGCCTACAAAAAACTCACGCCGCCCTATTCCCGGAAGTTCAAAAGCACCCAGTACGTAAGGGAACTCAGGGCCACGTACTGTTTAAGAATACTGCGTACGGTACGCGCGTACATGTCACACAGTGTTTTAGAATATTTAGTATTGTACAAGCGCATAGGGCCACGGCATACTATCATAACGGTTGATATCCAGTGAGATATATTTCCTGTGAAGCCCTATAGATACACACAGTTAACGGTAATACACCAGCCCCTCATATGTAACGTTCTCCACACTCTGGTGTCTCGTCTCGTTTCCACTGTTTACATCAGTACTCGTTATTAATTTTTACTTTAACGCCGGGGCATTATTATTTTGTTCAGCTACTTAGTATTTGACAAGGGCGTGACTGTTGTGACTGCCTGTCCATAACAAGTTATCTTTTTTTACCATGACGTGTAAGAACATGATCGT